CCCCGCAAGACCTCTGATGCAATTTAGGTGCATATGCAGATCTTGGAAGTTTCTTATCTCCGAGCCCCTTTTTACGGAAGCTTATCTCGAGAGATCGAACGAGTTGAACAGCTTCGATCTTCTCAAGTATGACCTCAACAACTGTTCGAGAGGACGCCATTCTTCCAGATACGAATCATATGATCTCGATACATCATTTGTCGAAGATAGCAAGAAATTCGAATTAGTTGATTCCTACGGTGGAATTGTTTGTTTATCCACCTTTGACCACAAGAATCCAGACCACTCAAATGATCTTTCTGCGGAATCCATTAACTGGTGACAAGATACCGCTTCCTCGACCCAAACCTGATGTGACTAACTTCGTTGGATTTGGATTAAGTGGTCATCCGGATGATTTTAAAGTAGTTAATGCGAAAATATTGTGAGATTATGTGAGACCACCACATATTGTTCTAAAAGTTTAATTTATTAAATGAATGCGTAATTTAATATTTAATTATTCTAACACTCTCCCTCACGCTTAGTCTGGTCTTTTTGCCTAGTATTAAGTATGGAAATATTTAATTAGATACGCAAATGGAGCCTGGAAATATTTGAACTCGGACCTCCAACTCTAATAGCATGTTAGATTTTGTGGGACCATTGCAAATTTTTCTAAAAGTTTAAGCTTTTGCGGTCATGGCAACTAAACTCAAGGATTGCACTATTACAGGACTTAACCCAACACTTTACGGCACAAGTTAGCAACAGTCATACACCATCTGTGTCCGCATTCCTGAAGGCACACCTTTCTTTCAAGAGAATTTGTGGCATGTTTATCTAAGTGTAAGTGAGCGTGTTATGACGTGGATAAACTGATAGTATTGGAAGAAACCAATTTTGAGTTTATTTTTATTAAGTCATGACTTAAACGTATGGATCTTTATTAAGTAACTGATTAAAAAACTTTACAGTTTCCAATTACATTGATTGTCCTCGTGCTACACACAATCAGTAAGGGTGTGCAAAAGAACCAAGAACCACCCGAACTGACCAAAACCAGAGCGAACCGACCCAGAATCGGCAGTTCCCATGGGGACTAGTCTGGTTCCTGGTTCCAGGCGTGGAACCGCCCACCCGGACCGGACTGGTATATATATATATTTTAAAAAAATTTGCGATTAGGGATGATATTTTCTGAGTGAGCGCGACTGCTGTATGAAAATGGTGACTCTGTAAAGAAGATACAAAGAGGGGGGGAAAGGGCTTGGTTTTTAGTTGGTGCATTTTAACATTATTATTATTATTATTAGATTGATTTTGGTTGGGGGTTTGAAAGTCTCACAACTTGGTTTGATTAGGATTCATTGTTTTCTTTTTGCCCCTTTTTCCACTTTCCTTTACCCCAACGCCAATTGAGGCCACCCCATATTTGTTTTGAATCCGTGTGTATGCAAATTCCGTCATGGGACTGTACGAACCGGTAGATTCCTCCTCCCCCTCTCTTTCTCTCTCTTCATCTTCTGCGAGAGATTCTTGAAGCTGGTCAGATGGGGTGGGGGCCAATCACCCAACACATTCGTTCATTCGTCGAACTTGAGAACCATGATATTAATTGATAAATGAAAATTTGTAGGGATTGGAGACTGGTTCCATGAACCCACCTGAGAACCAGACCGGACCGGTGATCTGGTTCCCAGGTGGTTTCCGATTCCAATTTTTTGGAAGCGGTCCCTAACGGGCAGTTCCCGATTCTAAGGTAGGAACCGCCCACTCAGACCATACTCAACCCTAACAGTCAATGCCTAGAAAAGTTCATTATTCCAAGTCTCGCCTATCTTGCAACAAAAGCACTCCCGCCAAAATTTAGAACGCATCGTGGACAAGGCATCTTGTCGGGCCCACTTGGGTTTAGATCGTGTTCGTTTGCGGAAAAATATTTTTCCGGAAAATATTTTTCGCTTTTCCAGTGTTCGGGCGGAAAATGTTTTCCGTGGGGAAAACATTTTCCTTCCCCACCCCCAAATCCTTCATTGTTTTGAGGAAAATGATTTCCTCTTTTCACAAAGAGGAAATCATTTTCCCTCAAATTGAAGGCAAAATTGCCCATGGGAGGGAAAATATTTTCCGTGGGAGAGGAGTTGATCGCCGGCCACCACCGTTGGCCGCCGTCCGGCGCGGCCGCCGGCCGGCCGCTGCCGCCGCTGTCGCCCGGCCGCGCAGTCGCCGGACGCCACCGCGCCGCCGCCGCCGCAGCTGCCACCGCCGGCCGCTGCGGCCGCCGCGCCGCTGACCGCCGCCGCCGCCGGCGCGCCGCCGCTCCGCCGGTCGCCGGGCCAGCTGATCGCCGGCGCGATGAAAAATATTTTCCAAAACTTTTTAATATTGGTCGCCGAACACCGGAAAATTATGTTCCGGAAAACATTTTCCGAAAATGACTTCGGAAAAATATTTTTCAAAAGGAGAATATTTTCCGCAAATGAACTGTTCTTAGAATGTAAATGAGCGGCCTATGCAAGTCATTTCCTTCTAGTCTGTTCTTTCGTTGATGATGGACCGTCGGAAACGTTCGTTCTTACAAAGAAAATATAATATTTTTAATCAATATGGATGGGCTGGGTATGGCTTTTAGGCCCAACACCAAACCTGATCGTACGTACACAAAAATTGGGCTTGGAATTAAAACACTGAAGAGTTATATGAAAATGAGCTAAGCATTATTTATAGGCACGCGCTAATTTTCAAGTCCTCATCAAGTCCAAAATAAATTTGAATTTTGTAGATTTACAAAGGATTACGATGGCCAAGAAGAAAACGCCGTGAATTTGGATTTTTTTTTCAATTGTAAGGGTTTACAAAGAGTTACGAAGGTTCGTCGTAAACAATGATAAGACGTTATAAGTGTGTACTTTTTCAATTCTCATGCTTTGCGAAGGTTCATAATGGTCCGTCATAATCAAGAGCAAAACATCGTATGATTAGAAAAAATTTTAAATTATGAAGTTCTTACAAATGTTTACAATGTTCTAGTGTAACCAAGAACTCAACATTGTAAATTTGGATCCTTTGAAATTACAAAACGGTTTACCAAGGTTTGCACTATCGAACCGAGAACATAACGTCATTAAACGTCATTAAATTTGAATTTTTTTACAACTATATACAAATCCACTTGTAAAGCATCGTACATTTTACTTTTAGTGTCTCCGACGTCCAATTGCAAATGGGTCGGACATCCAACGATGTGCCGGGATTGAGAACCGGTTGCGACCGGCTCAACTTCCGGCCTAATCTAGCGGCCGACATTCATGGGGGCACGATTCGACATCGTACCACAGAAGTCCCCATTGCATGTGCTACCCAGTCGTGTGCATAAAGGCTTCTCCTCAACAACTAACCTAATCTTTCGAAATCTAGTCATTTGTGGGAATTTTGAAGGTTACACAAGCAAGAAACTTTGGGCAGTTGCATTAGAAGCCACGATGAAACTCACATGCATTTGAGGCTGCTTACTTCATTATATGGAATTATCCCTTTGGCTGCATTAGGTAATGCGGGGAGATGATGTTTGATTAGCTGCTTAAACTATGATTAAGAAAAACATAATCGCGAATTAAAAAGTTCCCCCCCCAAAACCCCACTGCCCCATGTCACAATCCATCCGGTGGCCAAAGATCAAGCCCCAAAGTCGGACCCAACCCCTTCTCTCAAGCAAGACATAAGCAACAAAAACAACAAAAGACACATCGAAGTCCCAAAACAAGAGACGAAGCTTTATAGTATCATTAGTAACCAAATCGTGTGTAAACACAACATCCCAAGAATCCAATGATGACAGCAATTAGGAGGTCGGGATTAGTAGTTTAATCGCGATTATCTCTCCCCACCGTAAACAAACGGACATAACGACATAATCAAACGGAGTACCTAACGAGGATAACCAAAGACCTCGATCCCGCCTTCTAATTTATTCGCTTCGGACAATGACATGTCCGAACTCTCCAAGAGACCAATCAATTCTCGCCTTAATGCGTGGAAAGTAATGATAAAGAATAGGATTAATACTACGAAAAGCTCCAAATTAAGACACCTATAACAAATGTACCCTAGACTAGTTTTTATTATCACCAAAAATCTCAAACCGGTATACATGTAATAAATTTACGCCAAACTAATTTTTTGACCACAAAAAATCACAAACTAATATATTTGTGACAAATTTACTCTTTATTAGTTTCCATTAAATTGAATTAATATCACGAAAAATCACAAATGCTTCAACTGCGACGTGTTTAGACCAAAAAAAAAAAAACTACAATGTGTCATCCAACTAAACAATTTGACGATAAAATTTAACGGAAACTGACGAAAAGTAAATTTGTCGCAGATGTACCAGTTTGGAGTTTTTCGTAATATTAACCCTAAAGAATATTAAGACTAGTGTACCAGATTAATATACGAAACATCACAGTAAATTGCAAGTCGCAGATATACCAGTTTGAAGTTTTTTCGTGGTATTAACCCTAAAGAATATTAAGACTAGTGTACTAGATTAATATACGAAACATCACAGTAAATTGCAAGCGGTTACATAAGTTGGCAAATCGGCATATACCCATCGAATACTAAATAACAATTTGTCACGTCGCCTTATAAATTTAATAAGTATCCCGATAATAGAGAAAATGACACGAATAGTCCCTAAACTCTGAACCCAATGTCATAGAGAGTCGAGTGACTAGATTGAACAAATTCAAAGTTTAGGGACCGGACTGAACATTTAGTAATAATGAAATGGTCATATTGAACGAATCGAAAGTTCGAAAATGCCATTGCGACGGTGCGAAATTCTTTTCGATTGTCCCTCGATAACGATGTCTCGACGATTAATCATGTGTCGATTAATGGAGTAATTATTGGAGCATAGTAGAGCATCAGTGTCACATTTATCATAATTTTTTTTTTTATTTTGTGAGGGGGTTGATATTTACCATTGGAGGAACGATAGGTTGAATTATCAACCCCCCCACATCATTCATCTTCCACCGGCCACCACCACCCATCTCCCTCTCTCTATCTCCCTATCTTCTCCATGTTACAGCTCTGACCCTGACACCAACATCTCTGCAACTCTCTCTGTACAAACTCGGCTTGTCTTTCTCTCCCGGATTTGTTCCTCCCGCCCCACCCCAACACGAAAGCTTCCCCAGAACCTCTTCTTCCCCTCCTTTCGATTCTCTCTCCCTGACAGTTCCCGCTTTTTCTCTCTCTATCCGCACCCACCTCTTTCTCTCTCTAGCACCTTGAGACCCCCACCCCAATCGATCATGCTTCGGAGCTCGCTAGTCCCTCAACCACCCATCACTTCCTCGACCCCGAACCTCCTCCTCCGCCCCTCCTCCTCCTCCCCCTCCTCCACCTCCATGAAGGGGAAGCGCGCCGACCGCGACCGGGACCTCCCCGGCGCCGATACCCCCTCCTCCTCCGCCGACGATCGCCCCCCCTCCAAGCGGCCCAACTTCTCGGGCGCGGACGACGACGCCGCCGCCGGCGCCTCCGCCTCCGGGGAGAAGGCCGCCGAGGAGGCCGACCAGGAGCGGGAGGAGGCGGCGGCGGCGGTGGACGAGGGGGAGTGCGACGGGCTGAGGCTCCTCGGGCTCCTCCTCCAGTGCGCCGAGTGCGTCGCCATGGACAACCTGGACGACGCCAACGACCTCCTCCCGGAGATCTCCGTCCTCTCGTCGCCGTTCGGGTCCTCGCCGGAGCGGGTCGCGGCCTACTTCGCGCACGCGCTGCAGGCGCGCGTGGTCAGCTCGTGCCTCGGGTCCTACGCGCCGCTCGCCGCCCGGGACCTGACCCTCGCCCAGTCGCAGCGGATCTTCCAGGCGCTCCAGGCGTACAACTCCATCTCGCCGCTGGTGAAGTTCTCCCACTTCACCGCCAACCAGGCCATCTTCCAGGCCCTGGACGGCGAGGATCGCGTCCACGTCATCGACCTCGACATAATGCAGGGCCTCCAGTGGCCCGGATTGTTCCACATCCTCGCCTCCCGGACCCGGAAGATCCGGTCCATCCGGATCACCGGGTTCGGGTCCTGCTCCGAGCTGCTCGACTCCACCGGCCGCCGGCTGGCCGACTTCGCGAGCTCCCTCGGCCTGCCCTTCGAGTTCAACCCGGTGGAGGGCAAGATCGGGAGCCTGGCCGACCCGGGCCGCCTCGCCGTCCGCCCGGGGGAGGCCGTGGTGGTGCACTGGATGCACCACTGCCTCTACGACATCACCGGCAGCGACCTGGCCACGCTGCGGCTGCTGACGCTGCTGCGGCCGAAGCTGATCACCACCGTGGAGCAGGACCTCAGCCACGGCGGCAACTTCCTCGGGCGGTTCGTGGAGGCGCTCCACTACTACAGCGCCCTCTTCGACGCGCTCGGCGACGGGCTGGGCGGTGACAGCGTGGAGCGGCACGTGGTGGAGCAGCAGCTGCTGGGGTGCGAGATCAGGAACATCGTGGCCGTCGGCGGGCCGAAGCGGACCGGGGAGGTGAAGGTGGAGCGGTGGGGGGAGGAGCTCCGGCGGGTCGGGTTCCGGCCCGTGTCGCTGGCGGGCAACCCGGCGGCGCAGGCCGGGCTGCTGCTCGGGATGTTCCCGTGGAAGGGCTACACGCTGGTGGAGGAGGGCGGCTGCCTGAAGCTGGGCTGGAAGGACCTCTCGCTGTTGACCGCGTCCGCGTGGCAGCCGTCGGATTGATCTTACCTTTTCCTTCTTCTTGTTTTTTACCCCGAACCCCCGCAAGATCGGACGGCCACGACGGAGTCTCCGCGGGCAATGCTGGAATACGACACGGGCGTTCATTTAAATAAACGAGCGAGCGTCCAACCCCCGTCGATTCCGAAGCTTGTAATAAAGGGCAAGGAAAACCCCGCGAGATTTCGGCTCCGTGATCGGTGATGCGGGCGGCGGTGCATGGACGCTACCGTACGGTCGAGGGCACCCGATAGTTCCTCGGGAGGCTCGAATGGTAGGCGGAATAGCGTACGGACAACGGTGATTCGGAAGCGGGGGATTGGGCCAATCTTGTTCGCTTTTGGTGTTGTAATTCTTTGGAGGAGGAGGAGGGATAGTTTGGCAAATTGTATTTATTTGTCGGGTAAAAAAAAAAAAGAGGAAAGTAAAACCCAATTTTGTGAAAGGCCAAAAGCGTCTTTTTTTATTTTTTATTTATAAATTATTTAATAGCTCCTGAATTTTAGGAATAAAGAATCAAAATTTCTGTTCTTACGTAAAACAAAGAAAGCACACCCCCCCCCCCCCAACTTCCGGGGATTCACAGATTTGGTCCCTTTTCCATATATTTAGGTGGTTAATTTCAAAAAAAAAAAAAAACACCAATTTTAGATCGAGAGACAATTATGGCCCGAATTTTTTTTTTGTCCTGTAAAAATATACCAATTTTAGGTCAAGGGACAATTTTGGCTCGAACCTTTTTTTTGTTCAGTAAAAAAGCACCAACTTTAGGTCGAGGGATAATTCTGGCCCCAACTTTTTTTTATCTCGTAAAAGAGCACCAATTTTCACTTAAATCTCAAATCTTGCTCCCATTGACTTAGAACCATTGATTATCTAACTTAACCATTCCACACTAGCAATAAATCCACATGGATTGCTGACTGGATTTAAAGTAATATTTATTGTCTTATTCTCTAAGCCACAATTTGAAAAATAACGGTGAAACTGTTCGTCTCCTTTACTTCACCGACAAATCAAAAATATCTCCAGATTGAATCTCTCTGGCCAAACGCAATCTGAAACTGACCACAGCCTGTCGACAGACGCCATGAACGAGATTCGCCAAGCTCACCACCATAACCTTCTTTCTCAAACAATGGTGAAAGTCAACGGGGGGCCAGATTTGGGATCATGATGAAAGTCGGTGATTTTTTATGAGACAAAAAAAAATTGAGGCCAGAATTGTCACTCGACCTAAAGTAAGTGTTTTTTTATGGGATAAAAAAAAGTTCGGATCAAAATTGTTTCTTGACATAAAGTTGGTGCTTTTTTTTGGAGTTTGGCCTATATTTAGGGGAGCAATGTGATTGAATTCTCCTTTTTCCTCTCCCTTTTTGTGGGGATTCGTACGATCTTGGAAAAGTAAGGTTGTGCAATCTTTGCTTTCGTCGCAACGGAAGTTCATTATCGAGATTAAACTGGTGCGTGTCCAAGAAATTAGCTATTCAAATTTCAGGTTCGATTGATGGAACGTGTCCGAAGGGAGACAGAGCTTCCGTCTTGATTCGATCGCTCGAGAGTCCACAAACGACACGGGAAAAAAAATAATAATTAATGACTTTATCCTTGGTATGCCCATCGGTGAGCATGATTTCGGGTGTAAGTACTGATGGGATTTGAACATATGACGTCTATGACCCCAAATCGATAAGACAATTGACATTTTCATTCTATACATTTAGTGAACAATTGAGTCTTGGCCCCCTTATATCAGTTATTATTATCAGGCATTTACTCAAAGAATTGACTACCATATGTCAAAATCATCGTTTAGTCCAAACACTTCGAATGTGTCAAGACGTTTCTTCCAAGACGTGCAGGATATTGAGGAGAAACTTCAATTGATTAGCCCTATAAAGTTTGGCCGTGTTCGCAAAGTGCCATTGAAAGAAGACGCAGCGATTGAAGCGGCTTCATTTGTGTCGAGCCTTCAAAAAGACCACTTCTCGATCAATTTCTCTAGTATTTTCGTATCCAAAATAGTGCAAAACAAGACCCTTCTTTGGGTTATTCAAGAAGTGGAATAGTTGCGTTGAGTTTTCTTGATCCGTTCTTAAGAATTTGTCGATTCAATTTTCTAACAGGAGTAGGAATAACAATACAAGTTGGTGACCATATGAAAAGTGGATCTTAGTTATGAATAATATCGCAAAGACCTCGTCCGTCTAATGTTGGAATTGGGGTGTCACAAATTCCCTCTCGAACCATTGACGTCCTCGTCAAGGTTGACACATTTCGTCTAGCAGCACTCCCCTTATTCGATGTTCAACTTGATCCATTCCCACACCTTTACCGTCCTAGAAGCCCATTAGGTTGCACCTTTTTCGAGCTCTCTAGCCTCATCAATCACTTCTCGATTTCATCGAATTTGTTATGGGCCTATTTTGGGAAAAGTACAAAAAAAAAAGTGCTTGACCTACTATATTAATACAAATTTAGTCATAAACATTTCAATCGGTCAATTTAGTTGTAAGCTTTTTTACATTAATATAAATTCATCCGTCAGACCAATTTGAGCTCGCCATGCCATGGCGAGCGGCCGTCGGGCGTCCTCGCGTGGACGTCGATCGTCCTCACGTAGCACGGGGCTGACACAAACATAGATATTATTTAATAATATTTTGAACTTTTTATAATTTTTTTTCTTTTCTTATTATTTTTTCTTTTTTCTTTCTTTTTTTTCCTTCATTTTGCCTAGCAAGGGTCGCCACGACCCTCATGGGCCACTGGGCAAGGGCCAACAAGCCCTTGCCCAAAGCTAGTGGAGCCATGATGGCCCTAGGCAAGGCCATCATAGCCTCATCAGCCGCACCCTCGCCCGGCGACCCTCACCAGCCAAAATAAGAAAAAAAAAAAAAGAAAGAAAAAGTACAAAAAAAAAAGAGAAAAGAAAAAAATTTATTAAAGTATTATTTAAAATGTCTATGTCGGTATCGGCCATATCACGTAAGACGGCAGACATCCACTTCAGTGATTTCCGACCTAAATTGGCTGGATGGACTGAATTAATAGCAATGTGAAAATGTTTATGACTGAATTGGTCAACCGCAAAGGTTTAAGACTTTTTTGATAATTTTCCCTAAGAATTTGTCGATTCAATTTTCTACCAGGAGTAGGAATAACAACACAAGTTGGTGACCATATGAAAAGTGGATCTTAGTTATGAATAATATCGCAAAGACCTCGTCCGTCTAATGTTGGAATTGGGGTGTCACAAATTCCCTCTTGAACCACTGATGTCCTCGTCAAGGTTGACACATTTCGTCTAGCAACACTCCCCTTATTCGATGTTCAACTTGATCCATTCCCACACCTTTACCGTCCTAGAAGCCCATTAGGTTGCACCTTTTCGAGCTCTCTAGCCTCATCAATCACTTCTCGATTTCATCGAATTTGTTATGGGCCTATTTTGGGAAAAGTACAAAAAAAATCATTGACCTCTCAGTATTTGTACAAATTCAGTCATAAACATTTCAATCGGTCAATTTAGTCGTAAGCTTTTTACATTAGTATAAATTCAATCCATCCGACCAATTTAAACAGAAAATCACGCGACGTGGACGTCGATCGTACTACGTGGGCGTGGGTGACACAAACATAGATATTATTTAATAATATTTTGAACTTTTTATAATTTTTTTCTTTTCTTATTATTTTTTTCTTTTTCTTTCTTTTTTTTCCTTCATTTTGCCTAGCAAGGGTCGCCACGACCCTCATGGGCCACTGGGCAAGGGCCAACAAGCCCTTGCCCAAAGCTAGTGGAGCCATGATGGCCCTAGGCAAGGCCATCATAGCCTCATCAGCCGCACCCTCGCCCGGCGACCCTCACCAGCCAAAATAAGAAAGAAAAAAAAAGAAAGAAAGAAGTGCAAAAAAAAAATAGAAAAGAACAAAATTTATTAAAGTATTATTTAAAATGTCTATGTCGATGGCATATCGCGTAAGACGGCAGTCATCCACTCGATTTCCGACCTAAATTGGTGGATGGACAATTAATAGCAATGTGAAAATGTTTATGATTAAATTGGTCCAATTGAAAGGTTAAGATTGAATTTATATCAATACAATAAAAAAAATTTTACTTTTTTGGTGCTTTTCCCAACCTATTTCTCTATGAACCATACATATATTTTGACATCATCTGCAACAACTTAGGCCGTTTTATGTGAGGCAAGTCCTCAAAGTACTCAAATAACCACTAGAGTGAGTGGTTATTTGAGTGTAGATCTTGCTTATGAATAACATTGTAAGATCTCACAAGCATATGATGTGTTACTTGGGATGTCACAAAAGATGTAGTTATCCAAAGCAAATTAAACCTCTGTCCTTCCCTCCTCTTCACGTTATTTATCAAAAAGAAAAATTAAGAAACCCATAAATATTGGACAAAATTAAAAGGAGCGTATAGAGTGACACGAAAGGAAGATAAATAATCCTAGTAACCTCTCAGGAAGAGAAAATATAAGGATTAACACTATGAGCTATTTGGTTGAGAATAGGAGAGTTGAAGGGAAAAGAAAGGAAATGCAATATCTTCTAAAGAAAAAAGAAGACCAACAAAAACGCTAGTTGATCTCAAACCTCTCAAAATCACCTCACTTTTAGAGGGATTTGGGGGATTAAGAAGTTTGCTAAAATAAGCATGTAAAGAAGGTAAATCCCTCCAAACATGCTAATTCATTCAGAGCTCAGCTGCAGGAGTGAGCAAAAGAATCGATTCGGACCCGAACCGGACCGAATTGGTCAGGGGCCGTTCCCAGTTCCAGGCGTGAAACTACCCGCCCGAACTGGATCGAGTATATTAATTCTTATGTATCAAAATCCTAATTACTAGTTAGAGTACCACACTCTCACGCTCTTTCTCGCTACTCGCTCTCGTTGCTCGCAGGTTGCATCCTCGCTCTCCGCTCAGGACACGAATCGCTCCTCTGGCAACCTCACTCGCTCAGAGGGAAATCAAAGCAAGGTTTGGATTTTCGTCAACAATTTCTCGGATTTTTTCTTCCCATCACCCTCAAATCCGCCGTTTGGCCGTCATGGTAAACCCCCCCGTTCGCCCCTATTCTTGGCTGCAGGAACTCGAAGCAAGTTCACATTTGAAGCTTCGTAACCGTTGCTCATCTTCACAAGTGACGCTTCCCGGATCTTGCTTGCGCTAGCTAAATCCATAATTGCTACTAGGAACGCCTCCTGGCAAGATCTCTGTTCGATCTTTATCCGTGACTGAAAATCATGTCTCCGAAGTAGCTGCGACTGGTCTCTCCCGTCTTTCTCTATTTCACGGCCGAAATTTCCGAGTGATATAATGGTCAGCTGTAGCCTCGGTTCCACTCATTAACCATGTAAGAACGAATGTCTTGTTATACTTGGTGTCGTTCTATTTTGGCCGAGAAATCATTTCTCTTCTTTCAGACTATTTCGCTCATGATCGAAGTGTATTTCATAGCTTTCATGCACACCGACTTGTTTCCGTATAAGTTAGGATTCAAAACCGAGTTTGCTAAGGCCTTGTTTTACTCCTCATACAATACACACAGTATGTTTGATGAAATGCCACCTAGAACCGATAATGCGATAATCCTTGAAATGTCACAGCCAGTTCTATGGACCCACCCGAAAACTGGACCGAACCAGTGGTTAGGCTCTTGGGTGGGTTTAGTAACCAGTGAGCGATTCTCATTTTCAAGGTAGGAACCGGCCTAGGAACCAATCACCTCAACTCAGTTGTGAGCTCTTTCTTGTGTTGGAAATCAAAATATAAGAGATAATTATCTAAAAAGTCATAAACTAATTGTACGACGGCCAATTCATTTTAGACTTTTCAATTGAGCCAATTTAGTTCTAAATCTTTCGATGATTTTCCAATGTAGTCCTTCCGGCTGATTTTGTCTGGAGTTCGCTAACTTGGATGCCAATCATCATATGTGACATACCTGGCGCTGACGTGGACGATTTTTGTAATTTTTTCTAGAAAAAAAATCTGATTTTTCCTTTTCTTTTCTTTTCTTTCCTTTCCTTTTTCTTTTTTCCTATTTCCCTCTATTGGTCGTCAAGGCCTTGACGATGACTGGCAAAGGTCCCTGGCAACAAGCGAGGGCTCGCAAGCCCTCGCCAGGGTGATGGCGTCTCGCCTTCCACCTACCATCACCGAGGCCCTACGTCTGGCGGAAGGAAATAGGAAATAAAGAAAAAGGAAAAAAAATTGTAAAAATCGATTCACGTGAGGAGTGTCGGGCCACAACATATAAGATGGTCGATATCCACGTTAGCGAATTCTCGGCCAAGATTGACAAAACCGCCAAAAAATTTTATGATTAAACTGTCCAAATCAAAAAGTTTAGAATGAATTGGCCGTCGTACAGTATGTTTAGGATTTTTTTTGAATAATTTTTTCTAAAATATAATAGTGCTCATGAATCAAATGACCCTTTTAATACAGAAAAATTAATGAAATCATTACTACGGGTGATGGCTCATCAGATGACCTTATCCTTTGGAACAGGCAATAGTTGTACATATATTATGCTTCCAATTATAATTTTCTTTCGTTAAACTAAAGAGCAACACAGGGCGGGGCGGATCCCTTTCCTTAATCACGGACGGCGCCGTGCATGACGTCACCGTGGGATATTCTAAAGTACCCCGGATAACGATGTAGGAACATCCTATTCAAAATAAGCAGGCATACAAGAATTCCATACAAACCTATTTAGTCCATTTAAACCGATGGGCGGGTTCGAATTCATTGCATTTTGCACGACCAAATGGTCGCTTTAACCGTTGCAATCTCGTTTGTGCGGAGCAAGCGGATGGGAAACATTCGCGAAAACATGAACTCAACACGGCGCGATGACAAACGACTCGAAACCCAACACAATTTAAGTCGGTGTCTGAATCCGATTAGATCATCACATGAGCATCTAGCCCTAAACCACTCACAGTGAGGAATTTGAGAGGACTTTGATAAATTCTCTTGGGGTGATTTTAGTTAGTTTCAGCCAGATAGGATGGGGCAGATGGTCCCAGACGGGCACTAGCATCACTGATTAAGCAAAAGGCAACCACCACACAATATCTACTTCCTTTTGAGGTGGGTGTGGGAGTTTGTATGCATGCCTCGGCCACCGAATGGTGTCTCTTACCTCAACTTTATCCAAGAGCCATTTCATGCTTAAAACAAAAACTCTCGTCCATGAGACATATTTGACCGCTTAACTTCGGAATGTCCAAGAGAAGATACAAACTTTTCCATCTAGTGCAAGTGTTACTTTCCTCCATTACAATTCCGTCGGAAATCGCCGTGTAGAAGTTCGTTTTCGGGCTTGTGTCGAACTAAGTTTGACCACATTGGGTATTTGAGGTGTTTGGTTCTTTGGTGATCGCCCTGAAAAGTGAGTTGGGGGTCGACTCCGGACTCGTCGTAAGAAGGTTATTCGATACACCGGTCGAGCTTTAGAAGAAAGGAGATTTGAGAAACCGAAAATGCCACTGAGTAACGATCTTGGTTTTGCAAAATTTCAACACCATACAATAAGCCAGTGGTCATTGCAAAAATCAGACAAGTTTGTGCTGAAATACACGTTAGTTGATGTAATTTGACAAAATTTAGAGTACCCACTTAATTTGGAAAGCATATTCAAATGGATGGCGAAATTTCCAAAATATTAGTTTTATTCTTTTTTTTACTTTTTCTCCATAACTTAACGGATGAAATACTCAAAAAGAACTTAATCACATTCAGGAGAATAATCAGGAAGGGCTACATACAACCAACAGCAATGCATCAATCAAATCCAGGAGAGACCCCTTTCTCTGTGCATTAGGGCGAGGGAAATAAATGAAAAAACAGATTCCCTAACCAGCTTCGACCTTCCGACCAAAAAACAAAAAAAAAAAACCAGCTTCAACGCTACGACTACAAACCATGCGGAAACAGGCTCATCCAGCAACCCGTGCTTACCGAAACAGGCTAAAAACGAAACAATAGAGGAATAAATTCGCAATGAGGAAAACCCAAATATCAAAACTTCAAACCGAGACAGCAAACCTTTCCCGTTTGGCGGGGACGAGTCCGAGCTAGTACCGTTTCCCCAGGATTATCCCGAGGACGACGGAGACGAGGGCGACTCCGAGAATGAACTTGAAGGTCATGGCAGGGGAAGCGTCATGGGCCTGAGCCTGCGTCTGTGAAGAGGTTGAGGCAGCCGGAGAAGAGGATGGTTCGGTCTTTTTCTTGTTCTTCCTTTTGGATGGGGTTGAGACGGGGGATCCAATATCCCTGGACTTTACCTCGACTTCACTACCAGCGGTCTCCTGCAAAAATAAGACGCGATTGTCAGCAAGGAAACCAAACCGAGGTAGTCGGAACACAAACAAATCATTACTGGGACACGGTATGTCAATGCTGACAATCCACACATATTACAAAGAAAGTGCATTGTCGCTCGAGGACGTTATGGAAAGAAGAGGATTTGAGGCCAACTCATATATACTTTCAGTTGCATATGACCCCCTCCTCTTCGGTGTGCAGCAACTTGTTTGAATGCACTTACACTCAGTTTACCGCAGCGTGGCATGAATTTGCACTGAATCGTATTTTTCCTGTTATATTGGATGGCTTCATCCTAAAAAAAATGACTTTTCTTTTCTCGGAAGAAACCGACCTTTTCTAGTAGTTTAGCTTCCGCTTGTCGTAATTTGTGATCGAGCTCGGCGACTTGCTGCTCCAGAGTTACAACCGCTTTGCTTTTCTCTTGAAGTTTTTCAAGGGACTCCTTTAAAGATGCTTCTCGTTCCACGAGTATTTCTGCATCCGCTCGTTCCCTCTGTCCCATTGAATAACACAAACTCCATTTAATACTGGTCCAAATCTCCAGTCAAAAGAGGTACTTTGAAGTATGGCAAAAGACGCCTATTCCTAGCTAACTAGTCTTGCTGGTGGCTTTCTGTGACCTCACGTGAATTAGAAAAAATAAACGGTACTCAGATTTCCTAACCTCTTCAGTAATGGACTTCTCAGCGATCTTCTCTTCAAGTTCCTTGAGACGAGTTTGCAGCGCAGAATTCTCCAGGATCTCAGCCTTAAGATTAACGATTTCACATTTTAAAGTATCTTCACTTGTCTGCTTCTCCTTTACTCGTTCTTCCAGCTGGAACATCAAAGATTCAAGTTCTTTCTTGGAATGGCCATATGTTTCACCAAGCAAGTTCTTCTCTTCCATTAGCGAATTTATCTATAGAATAAAACGAAACAAAACAAAACTTCCGTCACGAAAAACCATTTAAGAAAATTCCTCCCTGGGACCAATTGATATGATATGCTGAGATAAGAACATCAGACCTGAGATTTCAGTGATTGCCCCTCTGTAGTAAGCTGCAGTTCCAACTCTTCCAGTGCTTTTTTTGATGATTGAAGCTGTTCGGAAACTTCATCCTTCTCAGCTACTGCTGCTGAAAATTTCACCTGTAAATCATTGAGTTTACCTTCATAAGCAGCCAATTCCTCAGCAAGCTTTAGGTTGGCCTCAGCTAACCCTTCATTCTCCTTCTGTGCCTGACTTGACTTGGCCTGTAGTTCCTCAACAACATCTTCCGAATGCTTCAACTTCGATAGAGTCTCTTCCAGCTCAACCTTTTGCTTTTCAATAGCTGTAGATACTTCACAAGCTTGTTCTTCAAACGCTTTTATTTGGCCTTCTAGCACAATGAGCTTCTCATTTAACTCTTTAGCTTCTGCATCTTTCTGACTGAACCTGAGTTCAGCTTCTTGCAACTGCTTCTCTGCCCCCACCATGCGAGTTTCGCTAGCTGTATGAAGTTCTATAGCTCTAGAGTGCTGATCTTTCAGGTTGTTAATGTCACTGACATGCGAAACAAGCTGCTGAGCAGTGGCTTCCCTCTCAAAAATTGCTGTATTCAGTAATTCCTGGAGTTCATTCACCCTGTTCTTGAGTTGGACGTTAGTCTCAACCAACAGCTCATTGTCTGAAAGGGATTGTGAAGCCTTATTTTCAGCTTCCACGATCTGCTTTCTGAGTTCCTCAACTGTAACCTCCAAAAGAGCCGCTTTCATCACGCTCTGATCCAATTCTTCCTTCAAAGAGGCTGATTTTCCCGATGCGTCAGCAGCTTGACTTTCATAACCTTTTGCTTGGTCTTCAAGAATTGTCAGTTTCTCAAATAAAGATTTTGCCTCAGAATCTCTACTGGAGAAGCTTGTCATTGCTTCTTGGAGTTTCAGGTCGAAATCCCGAGTTACAGATTGATGCAAGGATTCGAGCTCCGAATGTTTCGATGTAGTTTGTTCCAACAATTTCACTTGTTGCTCCATTTGCTCCTCTGCAAGCCTAAGCTTTTCCAGGACTTCACTCTCTCTAAATCCAGAAGCCTTGAGATCGCTCTCTATGCTCTCTAGCTTCTCCTGTGTCAGACTCAATTCATCCCTCAAAAGCTCTAAAAGATTTTCTGATTCAGCAAGCTTTGTAGCGGAACTGCTTGATGCATCTTCTAACCTTTTCTTCTCCTCTGTAGCCACATTCAAACACTCTATCAGCTCTTTTTCTTTCTCCTGAGCTGTTTGCAGTGCAATTTCCAAGCTTGAAGACCTTGCTTGGAATGCCTCAACTTCTGATGCTAGTTCGGATGCCTTGTCAGAGACTTTCTTGGAATCTGCCTCTGCATCAGCACATTTCTTTTCCAAAGAACTCATCTGTTCTTCAAGCTCCTGAATTCTGTATTTCTCTGTTTCAAGTAACAATTCCAATTCACTTACCTTTTTGCCTGAATCCTCTGCTTTGGAGTGAGAGATCTGAATCAGATCTTCCAACTCAAGGCTACGCTGATGGGTCATTTTGGCACGGTCCTCGTGTTCAGCACATTTTCCCGAAATGCTCTTCAACTCCTCTTCAAGTACGGAATGTCTCGTAGATGAATGGCTCAGGGAAGCTTCTAACTGGTTAATTTTATCCTGGTATTCCTGTATTAAAGTACTTTGTTGTTCCCTTCCCCCCTCCAATTCTCTCAGTGTGGCAGTGAGTTCTGACACCTTAGCAGCAAAGTCTTCCAGTTCTCTCTCTGCATCATTGCTTTTCTGTACTGCCAAATTCAACTGTCCCTCCAGCTCCTTGTTCTTCTGTTCTGCTGCTAGAAAACGCGGCTCTAGCTCTTTCACTTGGGCCTTTGCTTCTTCCGCTGCTGCAGTCGAAGCTTGAACAATACTCTCAAGCTCCACATTCCTCTGTGTAGCTGCTGCTGCTGCATCTACAGAAGCACTATGGAGCTCTTCCAAGGATTTCAACTTCTGCTCAAGTTCTCCATTATTTGACAATGCCTGAGACAGAAGAGAATCTGCTTTGGAGAAGTTGTCTTCTGATAGCTTCAATTTGCTTTCGAGTTCTGCACAGAGATCCTTCATGAGTGCCATATTAGCATTGAGATCGCCCATAGTTACCGCAATAGCTTCTTTCTCGGTGACTACTTTCGCCAACTTTTCTTGCACATCTAAAATCTGTACCTCCTGGGCTTTTAACTGACCTTCAAATGTTCCCCTCATATTCATTTCCTCCTCCAGCTTTAATGTCATCTGCTCCAGTTCTTTAACCTTCGCTTGAAGACCATCCTTCGTAGATTCCAAAGTATCCTGAAGGGTTGTAAGATCTCCCTTCAGCTGAGATTCAGAAGCCTTTATAAGGTCCAACTCCTGCGTCAATTCAGTTATAGTAGCTTCCTTCGAAGAAAGTCTCTGCTCAAGTTCCAGCATTTGTGATTTTGAAAGCGTCAGCTCCTGCTGGACAGCAGAAAGTTCTGCTGTCGTTTTCTCAAGCGCTTCTTCCATTTTTTGATTTTCAGCAATCTTGTCATAGAGGCCCTTCATTTCTTCCTGCAGGGAAGTCATCCGATCCTCCATTTCTTTTGCACTCAGCTTTGCTACCTCTAGAAGTCGTTCGAACTCCAAGGCCCTCTTCGTCTGAGACTCAGCATGTGAACCACTTTCTTTGTGCAGCTCCTCAAACTTGCGTGCTTCGCCTGCTGAGCACTGGAGCTCATGCTCCAACTCTAGCAACCTCTTCCTTGAGTGCTCATGCTCAAGTTGAAGACCATCGAAGTCCTCTTTCACCTTGATCAGCTCCTTGTATTTTGCTTCCTGGGCTTCTAATGCCTGCTGCAAAGTGCCAAGTTCAAGACCATATTTCTCTTCAGCTTCAATAATCTGCTGTTGCAATTTCTTGTGATTATGTTCAAGCTCTCCATACTTCTTTCCACTTATCTCCAACTGCTCCTTTGTTTGTGAGACCTTATCCTTCAACTGAATATTCTCAGATTCGGTATGCTTTAATGCCCCAACCACTCTCTCCAATTCAATCTCTAGCTCTTTCATCTTCTCTTGGGTTTCTAGCAATTCACGGACAGAATTACTTGAACTTCTCTCGAGAGAAGATGTATCATGCCGTGACGAAGCTGATTCCACCATGTGGTGACCGTCCTTCCCTTCGAACGACTCTTTCTCTACTTTGATAAATTCACCGTCCAAGGCAGTTTCCTCCTCCTCTTTTTTCCCTTCCTTGGCAACAGGAGGCACGTCTCCATTTAAAGCCTAGAATAAGATCATCATTATTCATAAAAGTACCACTGAATGCATTCACAAAGGTTCCGGTTCAATTTTCTTTGTTTGCACACCATAAATTAATTTATCTCAACCATTTAGAGCTTTATAGTCTTTCATGATCCTCTCCAAACTAAAAGCTCAGAAGTATTGTGGCAACTGTATCTAAGGGACGGTTTGTCCTTGGCAATTCAGTATTTTAATAGAAAGGGAGGAACGTGTCACTTTAAGATTTGTGTTTTCAAGAGTAATTCACAAAAACCTTTGACTAGGAAACGATAGCAATCACCATATTACCATAAATGAAGTTGCAAAGGGCAATAGCTTTACCCATCTTTAGCTTTTTCTGAGAACAGGTGATCAGAACTACAAAGTTAGCCAAAGTATATAAATCCGCAGAATGTTCGGAAGCTCATCCTAAGTACATGCTAAGTGGAAATGAGAGTGAGTGAGTGACTTGAGAAGCCCATATTAAAGTTGGTAAATTCAACAGCAATATATAGTATAAGGCGTATAGCCAAAAAAGGGTGGGGAGGAATGCAGTCTACTAGCTACCTTAACAAGATCAGCATTGATCTCGCTTGCATCAATGGCTTTCGTGACAGGAACAACTGGACTGGTTGTTGTCTCTTCTTCCATTTCTAAGTGAAGCTAGAAGTACCCTTTTTCGTCCAGAGTGCCTGGCAAATTCATTCCAAGGTTACAATTAGCTATGCAAAACATAATTGGAAAACAAGAATAGCAAACTATGGATTCTAGGAGAACTAATAAAGATCTTATATGACCACGAATGATGGCCTTTGATAATTTTGAACAAACAAAACTTGTTACCATGCGGGACATTTGAACATCAGATTGTGGGAATATTCAGTCGAACTATTTCGTAGGCATTTATACAATCTAGATGAGTTGATGGATTGAAAATTGTACATGCACCAAGTCGTACCGAGTTCAGTAAAGATGAGGTGTTAATATTAGCTTCCATGCAATGCAATGCCATGCTAATATAAAATAAGCAAAAGCACAACGAATAAATAGACATTACATTATTCAACTGGATTGAGAGGAGGGCTGACAATATTTCGTACAAGATGACACAATCAGATGTGAAAACAAATAGGCTTTTACATTTATATTTTCTAAAGATGTTCTAAGAAAATCCAAGAAACAAGATAAAGATATAATGTGAGTCTTTTCGGTCCTTAAGAGGTACCATGTTTTATAATCTTTCACCTTTAGATAAAAATGCGAAAAATCACAACCATCAAATCTCAGCCTAGATGGTTGTGATTTTTTTATTTTCGATCCAACTGTTAAAGATTATAAAGGCATGATACCTCTTAGGGATCATAGAATCAGACAAAATCTCAAAAGTTCTCTGATAAAAAAAAAATACTCGGAAGTTTGTTAAAATAAAAGTTAGAGATCCATCTATCTATTTTTAAGCAGAAGTATACAGTGAGAATGATTAAAAGAATCAGATACACACATATATATAGTATACGTAGATTAATATTCTACTTCATTTTATCTTTCTTTAACAATTTTATCGGTAATTCATTAATAAATACAAAAATTCATAGAAATGACAATTTTCAGATTAAATCCATAAATTGTGACGAACATATATAGTAGAACAATTCTAATAATCTATCGCTCCAGTTTCATAGACAAAAAAAATACGCGTTGAGGTATAATATAACTTGCATTTTTGTATAACAGTAATATAATATAATTTGAATTTTGTACACCTGCATTACTCATAAAAAGATGTACACCTGCATCTGGACAATTGAAATAGAAAATAGAAAGAAATTCATTTGTCTCGAATCCCGTGCTTGTTTCGACTTAACCACATCCCACCAAAATATATAATACGGTTCGAATTTCAACAAAAACTACGAAAAAAATTATATATCAAATAATATATCAAATTTTTACATTTTCTGAAAATTTCACATGTTTTGAATTGAAAGAAAAACCAAAGCATGTTTGTCGCACTAAATAACAAATAAGAATCAATTCAAGATCTGTACTCTAAAAATACTATCTTAAAGAACAGAATGATCTCGGCTCATGCAAAATGCACGGATATTTTAGGCACCAACCATGCCAACCATGATTTGTACAGCGTACCGACAACAGCGACGTGGGATCCAAAGCGGGGTCCCTTCAATTTCACACACCCAAATCAGACACACATGCGCAGACCACGATGACACCTCCTCAAGATTCTTAGCTGCCAGTCTCATGTACTTTAAAACTTTAAAGGGTACACCGCTTTAAGATCTGCAACCATTTTCCATCTCCCATCGAAGCCTTTTCACGTACATATTAAAAATCCAAAGCAATTTACAAGCTTGTAAAAGTTTTCTTATAATACTTGAAAGTACAATTAATTTTGCATTTCGAAAGAAAGTTATGCAAATTTTTGGGCAGAAATCTATGTCCTTCAATAACCCAAAAAGACGACTCTATATCTCATGCAATAAGTTACAATGACCAAATCGAGAGCAAATCATGCTAGATAGCAGATGGTCCATGCTAAATTAACGCTACCCTTTTTCCAGACTTTGACCGACGGCAATGTGCGAGGATACCAACTAGACAGCGAGACTAGAGGTGAAAATACGACAAGAGAAAAAAATGGGAAGCAAGCAAGAATTGCTCTCTCTAAATAGGAATGATACGATTAGCATCAATAGAAAATATCCTGAGATCACATGTTGCATCACTATACTCCAGAACATATTTAATAAAATAAAATAAAAAATTCTTGTGATCGCAGACTACCGCAATCTTGTGATCTACGCATACATGTGAAGGGGGATCTCACGTTGTTACCGCGTCTCCTTCCAATTGAATTACCGCTTTTTTTGGTCACCCATGTTAGAAAGTCATTTGGAAATGAAAACTCCACCGTACAGCGTGAGCTACGCGCCATATATGCGCGACAAAAAAAAAAAAACCAAAAAAGGACCGCGGTTATTTCGAACCTAAGACAGGGCCAAGACAGCGACGTACACCTACCACCTTTCTATTTTCAGCAAGAAGATCCATTCCCTACGGCAAATCGATATATCTTACTATCATTTTAACACAGTAGGAAGGGCTTTGCTACTTATCATGATACCAAAACACCAAATGGATCGAAAGAAATACACGGATGGTAAAGCAGCGCTCTCTTTTGGGGAGAGACTCAGCGACGTGGAAAGCACGACTATGGTTTATGTAAACAAATCATAATTCGACCCCCAAAAAAAAAGTTGGATCATAAGCTCGCAGGGGGGTGGCGTGGTCCCAGGGAAAAAGAGAAGGAATAGTCTAAGTAAAACAAGCCCAGGGGTGGCCATCTGTGCAATTTCACCAGATAAACCAAAGAAAGCACGGTAGGCGGAGCCCACAATCAATGGGGGCAGATTCCCCGGTCTCTCTCTTTTTCTTCAGCCCTTTAGCTTTCTCTTTTTCTCGCTCTTCAATGGATTTCGAGATCTCTTCCACCGCGTGGGGACAGCTCCTTTGATTAATTGACCGATTAGCATCGCTTAACCGAAAGAAAAAGTTACTTCTACTGGAGAACAGCTAATCATCGTCACGGCGGAGGCTCTCCGGGACACGCTCGTCCGACGAGCGCAGAAACCGAAAGTGAGTGGCCGCGGCGGATGATTCCGGAAGTAGATGGATGATCTTCGAGGAGAAGCGAGAAATGGCGCGATGCGATTTAATTAGTGACATGCACCTACTACCACGGCGAGTGACTGGATCAGTGAAAAAGGCCGGAGAAAGAAGAAGATCTCGCGCGAGTGTGAAGATCTCCGAGGACTGAATCTGATTTAAGGGGAATCTGTAGATGCGAAGAAGAAGAAGAAGGAGGAGGAGAAAAGCTTCTGAGACTGAAGGATCGGAATCACCGAGATTGATCGTGCGAAGAAGCAGGGGGAAAACTGATTTGGATTCGCAGGGAGTGGCGAAATCGGACCACGACTTCCCGAAGCGAACCGAGAAGGAGAAGCCCAAAAAAAAAAACCACGGAGCAGAAACTGGAGATGGCGAAACCGGCGGCAGATCAGAATCTAGCCGGATAAGCATGCATACATACATACTATACACACACACACACACACACGAACGCCGGAATGAAGCTTAACGAACTACGATCAGCAATCCGTGTTTTAGAAATCCGGCGATTCCGATCGCGACGGGAGATCACACAGAACGCGACGCGATCATTATCCCCGAAGCGGCCAAGGCTCGAGCAGGACGCGGGGGGGGGGACACCAGCACAGACGGACGACGCTCACCGGCCACCGATCGGCACCGGAACCGCGATCGCGCCACCGGATACGGGGACGATACCAAAAGCTCAGCACACAGTGCGCGACGGCGGCAGAAGAGCAGCAGAACGGTCAAAAAAGGCCAAAGCGGAACGAACGAGAGAGAGAGAGATTGCCTGAGAGAGGGAGGATGCCGTTCGTGTCTCGGCCGGCGGTTTCCGATCGGGGCCGTGCTGCTGCCGCCGCGGAGCAGGGGGGAGAGAGATGATGGTGATGGTGTTGGTGAATGGAATTGAATGGAGAGAGAGAGATGAATAAGAAGGAGGGAGGGGAGGGAGTCCACTGCGTTCGTTCGTTCGTAGTGGCTGTGGGGTCACCCGAGCGGGTCCCACGCCCCCCACAGCCCCATCGGAGGGGAGAGGGGGGCCGGGGTCTCTCTGCGCGCTTGCCGCTCTTTTCCATTTGTTTCCTTCTGCGCTTTTACCCATTTGCCCCCCGGCCGGTGGCGTTTCATCCGCCGTCATTCCACCGCCCCTCTCTTTTACTTTTGGGGGAGAAACCCCCGCCCCGATATTGATATGACACTAGGGTGGCTTACAGGTGAACATTTGACTAAAAATCGATGCGCTGAGTGCTCGATAGTAATTAGTCTCTTTCTCTCTCTCTCTCTCTCGCGCTTTTTGGTGCGTTTGGTTCGACTTTTTCGCAAAATGCCCCTACATAAATTCAAAGGATTTTAGGTTAAATGGGTTCCGCAAAATGCCAATCTGTGTTTTGAGTAGACACTATCCTCGTCGACGATAACATATCCATTCTCGGTGCAATTGATGATTGTGATAGACCTCCTAGACGCGAACCTAGAGATGAAGTCGAACCCGTATATCCATCGCCGCGGTACATATTCCTGATGAACAATGGGAGGTATATCGTGCAGAAGATCAAGGGGTTAAGCAAGATACATGAGCTAATAGGGAACACAAGGTGTCGAAGGAGGTCGTCAAACCTCGGCAATCGCTGCTAAAGGGCTAGAACTGAGTTGCTCGACCCTAGACCTCAACCTTGACCCATAGCGATCCTAGACTCTCGACTTGCGCGATCTTGACTTTAACGATCTTTATCTCAGCGCTGTCAACAACCAGCGAACACAAAATAGTGTATGAGGAAGAAAATGAACAGTATTTTTAGAGGATAAGAGTGGAATACGCGATTATCAGTGAGCACAAGATTTGAAGAATAAAAAGTCATTAAACCCCACAATAGCATTCCAAAGATCCAGCCTACCTTAAGCTTTCAGATTTGCCAATGCTGGCATTTCCCCATAGTAGTTGAACAGAAAATTAACCGGACGCCCTATCTTTTTCCCCAAGGATTTCAGAGGCCCAAAGTTCCTTGACAGTTCTTAGGAAAGCTGAGCCAAATACACTCCTTAGATTTATGCCATTTTAACTGGAAAT